GGGTGGAGAGCTGGGTCTTAGGCCTGAGACCAAGAGCTCTGGGGGCAGCAGGTGGCAGAGAGTCCATGGATGTTCAGTGGGATGGGTATCCAAGGTTCTTATTTTTCATATGAGCGACTATCACCACCCTTCACTTGGGAGGCACTGAGATGCAGAAAGTTCAGAAACCCACCTGAGGCTACACACAGGCTTGCTCTCCTTCAGGCCACCTAGTGTTTGCAGTCTGTAGAGACTCATTCCCAACTGCACTGGCTACAGCAGACTCTCTAAGAGGCAATGATCCTAGGCTCTAGAGTCAACCTGCCTGAGTGAGTAGACCAGTCCAGCTTCCTCTGGCCTGCGTGATTCTAGGAGACTTACTTCAATCTCTGGGCCTCAGTTTCCCCAGGTGGTCAGTGAGAGAGGTAAATATTACATCTGTGAGAAATTAGTTAATCTGAAGTTCAGCCAAAGTCAGAAATCATCAATTTTCTAGTCCAAAATCGGATGTCTTGGCAGCCCAGCTCCCTGGTAGTGGACAAAGATTCTACCTTGGAAGGTTAAGGAACCTGAAGTAAAGATTAAATCTGGAGCAAGTGACCAGAGTCTAGGCATCAGCATTCTGCCAGATGTCCGATGGGCAGTGGCAGACCAAAAGAAGCAGCATCCTCAGGAGGCAGCTCCCAGGTATGTCGTCAGCTCTGGTCCTGACTAAGCCACTTAAAGGATGGTGCTGTGTATGCCTGAGTTCTATTCCAGCTGCAGCTGGTCAACAAAGGAAAGGACTTTGACCTCCAAATTCTTGCTTGAGTATGTGTGACCTGACCCCTATAATAGGAAGTATCAGGGATCACATCCCACTCAACAAGGAAGGTGAAGAGATCATATGAAGGTCCTCACAGAACCTCTGTCTTGGGGCTAGGCCAACACAGCAGAGGAGAGGCCCCTGATCTCACCTTCCTATGCCCAGGGTCACCTATTACCAGAATGCAACAAAAGGAAGGTAGGCATATTGAATCCCACTCTTGGGCCAGGAAACTCTCTGTTCAGTCCCTACAGGAGGGCACTTATCTACTGCCTACTGGGATTTAGCTGTTGCCACCAGGCCTAGGGACCTCAGCTCTGCTTTGCTGACCAGTGGCTAGTGCTGAAAATAGCCTCTTAATCTGAGGCTCTTAGAATAGCAAGGGAACCACACACCAGAGGTCCCCTGACCCCAGCCCTGGGAAACACACCATGGATAAAAGTGGGAAAGATGAATTCAAAGCCTCCTCCTTTTCCTTTCCACCCCTCATACAAAACTAATTTCTAAACATTGTCTCCTAGGAGGGTGCCTTAGACCTTATCATATTATAGAATAACTTCCTTTAAGGGGAGATTCATATCTCATATACTATATGACCTTTAGACCTATCACAAGACTTGTAAAAAGAAAATTGTAAAAGTGGTTGGGTATGTGACATCTCTGGAGAAATGGCTTACAGGTGCCTCTAGGTGGTGCCATCCCTTCCCAGGGGGATGAAGGATGCAAGGGCTGTAATTGGACTTTTTACTTTCATCTTGAGTAGCATATGTCTTCCAGAGCTCACGGGGGATAGGGGCCATGAGAGAGGTTAGAAAGGCCGAGCTTGGCCCCTGGCCCATTCAACAGCAAAAGCCTATCAGATTTGGGGGACACCAGCTAATAGTTCTTTCACCCTCCACACTAACATGGATCAGCAAGTCTGTGCCATGCTGTCCATTTCACTCTCATTGCCAGAATGCAGCGAACAGAAGCCAGGCATAGCAGATCCCAATCCTGGTCCAGGAAACCTTCCTCCAGGTCACCACTGGAAGGCATCTATCTGCCTCTCTGTGTTTAAACAGCAGTTGAATTAGTGGACAACTACTATTACACTAATTCCTGGCTTCCTGCTCTCTCTTTCAGTCTGTATTCCAAGCTGGTTCTGAGGCAGCTTTCTCCAGGAAACCCATCCAAGCTCATGGCAAGACCTGTCACCAAGGTGTGCCACCACCATGTCTGTGCTCGGGCACCTTCACCTACACGGTTTTCTAATTATATACAGTCATTTGCATTTAGGATTCCTGACCTAAGATCCAGGGATCTGTAACAAGTTCAGAATGAGGACCTGGCATCATAGCAGTTTTAATAATTTCCAAGATGATAGTAAAAAGAAAACCTCAATGGTGGCCTAAATTCAGCACTGCAAGTGCTCAGGGTATGAGCTGGTGGTAAAGACCTTGTCTAGTAAGCTGATCTGAATTCAGAACATCTTATTTCAGCCTCATTTTCAAATTCTTTTTTTCTTTGGGGCAATGTTGGAGACTGAATCTTGTATCTCACACACACTAGGTAAGTACACTACTGCTGAGTCATAATCTCTGAGACCTGAGGACTTCTTAGAAGCCTTAATTTTCCCAAGAATTATTTTAATTTGTATTTATGGATATGGGAGTGCTTGTGCCACATGTGTGCATGCACCCCTGAGGCCACAAGAGGGCATCAGATTCCCTGAAGCTGGTGTTACAGGCAGTTGTGACTGCTCAAAGTGGGCACTGGTAACCCAGCTTCTGTCCTCTGGAAGATCAGCAAGCACAGTTAACCACTGAGTCATTCCTACACCCCTAGAAGCAGTAATTGAACTGTGTATAGAAGGAAGCTTGCCTGATCTGTTGAGGCTGCTATAACAAAATGCCATAGACTGGGTGACTTGCAAATGACAGGAATTTATTGTTCACAGTTCTGGAAAGTAAAAGAGGGACAGGTGTCAGTAGATGGGATGTCTTATGCGAGGACTGCCTCCAAGTTCAGAGGCTGTTCTTTTTAGCCACATCCTTGGAAAGAAAATGGGGAGCTGGCACTTTAGTATTGTCATAAGAGTTTTAAAGGATGAAAATATCCAGACCTTTTTTTTAATGAAAGAGATAACTTAGGAAGTCATGATTTAAAGTGGCTTCCCTCCAGGAGGAACAAGTGACATGAAGGAGGAAGACATGGGAGGGGGTGTGATTTCCAGAGGAAGCCTGGGAGCCCAGCATGCTTATTCTAAGGAACTGGGTCACTAACATTCTAAGCCATGAGCTCCTAAACATCTTTGAATTTGTAAATCTGAATAGCTGCAAATGACTTATGTTGGCACCAATTCTAAGCATCGTCTGCACGTTATGACAGAACCTTCCCCTTTCAAGCAGATGATGTAGAAATCACAGGTCAATTCACTGCACCAGAAATAAGGATGAACACACTTTTGACAGATGCCATCTCCTGCCGCCCCCCCCCCCATGTCAACTCAAGAGTTGCCAGGGGCAAAGCTGGAGTCAAGCAGATCATTCACTTACTAACTTGTTCATTTATTACTATCAGCAGATACCTGTTGAGTGCCTACTGTATGTCTGCTTTGTTCTAGATGATGAGAATACAGCAGGAAACAAAAACAGAATTCCCTTTCATTCTAGTACTGAGAACTACAGTGAAGAAGACAAGACTTTATACTACTGAGTGTACACAATGGAGAAAAGTGCTAAGGAGTGGTGTGTGTGTGTGTGTGTGTGTGTGTGTGTGTGTGTGTGTGTGTGTCTGTGTGTCTGTGTGTGTGTCTGTGTGTGTACATATGTATGTGTGTCTGTGTGTGCATGTGTGTGTCTATGTGCATGTGTCTGTGTGTATGTGTATCTATATATATGCATGTGTGTGTGTGTGTGTCTGGGTGTCTGGGTGTGTGTGTCTGTATCTGTGCACAAGTGGCAAGGTTAAGTTGAAATTGAACATGAGGAGACTAGGCCAGCCTCTAAGTTCCAATTCTTGAGTCACACAGTATGCTCCATGACCATGCTAGCTAAGCAGACATGCAGCAGACTGAAAGAGACATACGATCAGATGTGGGGATCATGGGATTTTGTTCTTCCACCAATACTACAGAGTAGTGGTTTTGGGAAGTCACAAACCTTTCCAAGTCTAAACTCTTCTGCAGTAGGATGCAAATTCACTGTCTATGTCCTACAGTGTTGTGGGGAGGTATGACCAGAGGTAAAGTGCCTCCTGGGGTCTTCATTCTGAGAACCCTCCAGTTGCCCTTTCCTGCCCAACTCGGGATCACAAGGAAGGCTGGCACCTGGAACCATGCAGAACAAATGTGTTTCTGTTTTCCTCTTCTCATAATTCAGCGAGAAGACCCAGAGAACAGGATGGTTGAATTGCTAGCCCCCACTCCTTTATTGTGGTTTCAGCCACTTTTCCACTTAGTCATTTGAGGCCTGGATTTACATTGGCCCAGAAAAGGTTAGGCTTGTGACCCAAACAGAGGCTGGGAATCTAGCTGGGCATTTTGGCTGCTATCTTGCACTCCCAGCTTGTCTATATCCAGCATATTGATCCAGCAGGAAAAGGGCATAAACTTGAATGCAGTCTGAGCCATGTCTACGAAGTCAAGCTTGTGCAGACTCGTGGCAGAGAAACATAATACTCATTCACCTCTGAGATTTCACAGGTAAAGTATCTAACTAGCTCAAGCAGTGACTATGAACTTCAAATGCTACCAGGAAATGAGCTGGCCACTTACCACACACCTTCCTCAAGACTGAAGACATTTCATTAACACACCATTTTAAAATGAGAAAACTTAGGGTCAGCAAGTTAAAGGAATATGTCCAAGGTCATGGCTCCCAGGTGAGAGAGCCCAGATTGAATGCAGGCTTGTTTGCCAACAAAGTCAAGGGTGTTGTGCTCATTTGCTTCCAAGCAGAGAACTAGGAACAGAGCCAGGAACAGCCTTGTTCCCTAGGTCATAGGTCCCCTTATCCCATGAGCCAATCTTGCCATTTTAATGCATGGCTTTCCAGAAAAACACATCACAAGGACTGGGATATCTGACAAATTATAACTGAGCTGTTCATCTCTGGGAAGCAAAGAGAGCAACCTTGAAGACACCTATGACAACCTTCTCAATAAAGGCTAGGGGTCACTTGTGCCTCAACACTGAGCTCTGGATTCTATGGCCATTGGGTTTCTCCTTAACAACCTACTAACTGTGTGAAGTCATATGCCTGGAAAGATGGTGGCGCTCCCGAAAGTACTCATGACAAATGGGACAAGTGAGAACTTCCTCTCTCCGTTTCTTAGAATGTGGATCAGGGCCCACATGCTCCCTTTTGTGATGGGAACGCATGTGGAAGACCAGGTCAGACGTCAGACGGAAGGCAAGATTGCACTTAGCACACCAGTTCTGAGTGGACAGGCCTGGGGAGGAGAGGGTGGGAGGCAAGAGAGCCTGAGAGGCTGTGGCAGAAGGCATTGAGGATGTGGGTACTTGCACCTGGGTGTGATCCAGCCAGGATGCGGGAGCCCCCTGGAAAGCATTACAGAGCAGAATGTTCTGTGACAATGTATGCAATCTCCAGAAGTCACCCATGAGTTTGAACGTTGACAGCTGAGCCCATCCTGGTATGTCCACAGTGGTGATGAGTCCAGAGAGCTCCCATGGGCCCTCTGCATTTCCACTGTCCAGAAGCAAGGGGGAGCGCCTAGGTTTCTCTGCCGGGCGCTTGGCTGGCTTGCTAAAAGCACTTCTCTGCTCATTTCGGGTTGCTCCTGGCCAGACTGAGCACACTGTGCCATCCACTGAGGCTCTGGGATGATCCAAGGGCCGCTGCTCACTGCCAAGCCAGCCTTCTGGGTCCTCTGGCTTCCTCTTCTGGGCTTGAATGTCCCCTGGCCTCTTCTGGAGACAAGACAGTTCTGTGAAGGTACCCTGCCTCTGCTCTGTGCATGCCTTGCAGGCCAGATGCCTGTCCACTCGAGGTTCATTCAGTGCTGTTGACAGGCTTGGTTCAGAAGAGGTCACATCTTGGCTACTCTTACCTGCAGTGGTTCCAGAGTCCAGGAGAGTTATTTTCTTGAGCAGTCCTGGCTGGATCTGTTTGGGTTCCATGAGCCTCCATCTTTTCTCAACTGAAGCACTCAGAGAAGACCCTTTGCCCTCAGCCATGTGATCAGCAGGACCTGACAGGCTAAGCAAAGTGGATGTTCCAGCAGCCATTAGTCTATAGGGCTTTGGAGTTCCAAAGGACTGTCCCTACCCCCAGGAGGAGCTATGAGCCTGGACTGGATGCACTTGACTACTGGTCTCTGCAGAAAAACAGAGCAACAGGCAGTGAGGCAGGCACTGGTCAGTCAGTGCCCCATCATGTAGGCTGGCACCAGACAAGCCAGTTTTTTCTGGCCTTCCTTTGATGTCTGTGAAGTGGGAGCAGGGTCATCTGAGGAGAAAGGGAGAAAGAATGAGCTCAGATAGTTTAGACTCCGGCAGCAGGTGGAGACAGGCATTTGCCAGAAAGAGCCCTGGAGCAATGGAACCAGATGACTACGCCATGGCCCCACGCAGGGAAAGGCAGGCAAGCCACAGAAACACCTACTGTGATTAGCAAGCCTGCATCAGAACCCTGGAAGCTGGAGAGGTAGGGAAGGGAGCCTGCTCTGAGGCAGAAAATGGGGGATCGTGGACACCTACCGACAAGATGACCCTGAAGTGAGGAAGAAAGAACCATCAGCTCCTGCTCCAGCTCAGTCTGGTTCTTAGTGCTCCAGAGCCTGGGGGAAGCCACAGCATCTGGAAACAACAATGTGCAAGGTTATCTTGGTTCCTATGGTGTTCCTTTCCTTCCCCGTCTCCTACACTAGCAGCCCCTTTCCCTCCATCACATCCCCAACCTGCTTCCACTATGTTCTTTTGGTTCCTTTGGACCAATCTTAGATTCCTTGTCCCTGTGTTTCCCCAACTCCCACCTAAGCCTTGTATGGTCAGGCTGCCTTTCCATGTGGACCCTACTCTAACTGCGATCACACAGTGGCCACTGCTTAGTTTTATGCATTTTTCTACTCCAGTCCCTGATAAGGAGTGCTTTCTGTGGAGTCCTTTGGGAGTCGGGGCCTTGATAGACCAGCCAGGGACGGGGAAGAAGGATGGGTATTTGTTGTGGGGAAGCTTCATAAAGACATTGCTTTCACCTCACCTAGATCTGGCCATCCTGTGAGTCACAAAGGGAAAGCTATAGAAGGTCACAGTACAAGTGGAAGGGAGGTGCATGGGTAGCCACAGCGGGGTGCAGCAATAGAGGACTGAAGCCCCAGAGGGCTTCCAGAGGGATGCCAGTGTGGAGTCCTATGTTCTTCCCACACTATGGGAGCTAACCATCAAACACGTGCTTAGAAGTAGCTTTTGCTCCCAGTGAAGATTATAACTCATCATCATTTCCTTTGAGGGCTGCCGATCTCTGGTGTGCAGATCTGAGGGTCCCTAAGGAGCCTGCCCATCAAGCAATGGAATGGGCTCCATCAGCACCCTGCTCTCCCTCCCCTGCCTTAGCCATCATATTGTCCAGCTGTAGCTCTAAGTACAGCCTTCGCTGGGCAGGATGAATGTCACTTCTACTCTGATGATCTCTCAGGCCCAGAAGAAATGGCCTATGCCACTGTCTGCCCTCTGCAGCCCCCAGAGGGCACCTAGGTAATGCAAACAGCAATCAATCAGAAGGTACCGTCTAGACCAAAAGGTTCCTAAGCCAGCCAAAAGGAGAGGAAGATTATTGCTTCTTGGGATAATATAACAGATATCTTATCATTTATGCTGACTATCATCTTCTCAGCCAAGTCGTTTCCAGTGTGTTCCTACTACTGAAGTTCTCCGCAGCTACTCGGTCCCTGTCTTTCTCCAGTTCAGGTGTCCAGCCATCCCTCTGATGGTAGAACCTACTCTGCCCCATATACTAATAAATTCCTTGTCTGAGTTGGCCAAAGCTGATGTCTGCCACTTGAATCCAAAGCACGGTGACTGTTCTAGAAGTGAACAACCCCACCCAACTCTGAGGGCTTGCCTCCAGGACTCTGTCGGAAAGGATGTCAACACAACACACACTCACATGTGCACACGTGTGAGCAAGCACATACAGAGGCTACCACCCAGTGGCACCAGTGGTTCAGCACCACTCCAGCATCTGTCAGCACGGGGGCAGCCACTACCGTGTTAGCAGAGTATAAACAGCGTCAATTCCAATGTGTTTCCACCCACATTAACAGTTTTCCATGCTGGCTGGCATGCTGATGTTAATTCTTGCTGTCAGGTGTGCTAGGCCACTTCAGGTACTGAGGGTATAGCAGGGGCTTCTGTAGGCACACGTGACCATAGGGCTAGAGGAACACTTGGCAGGGTGGATGTGGGCTGTGTCTAGCCCTTGCCTCACACTGAGGCACAGTTGGCTCTCCACCTGGCCTTGCTCTTGTCTAGAGCTTTTGTCTCCCTGCTCTCCACTCACCAGACACACTCACCATTGACCCATCCCACAAACAAACCCACTCACTTCTCTCTACTTGGCCCTCTCTACTTGACTCCTCCAAGTCAACTCTCTACTTGGCCCAAACCATTGGGCATTACAGGTGAGCTGGCTTCTGACTGTGCCCTGGAGGTACCACAGTTTAGAGGGAACAATATACTATGAGGGTGGCACATAGGAGGCAATGTCAGCAGCTCTCTGGGGTAGGCCTTCAGCACTGCCCTATCTCCATTGGCCCAGGCATCTGCTTCTAAAAATAAGAAACAGAACCTGTGTCTCTGCCTCCAGAGTTCTGGGATTAAAGGCGTGCACCACCAACACCTGGCAACACATACACTTAATACATACAAATATATACTTTGATACAAACACACACTAATACACATATGCACACACAAACATATATTCATACACATTTATACAAATACTCCCATGATACACTAAAACACACAAGTCCTCTGCCTCTCCTCTAATCTCAGATACTTCTCCAAAGTCAGCAGGGTCAGGACAATGTTATACCCAAGGATGTTCAAGAACTTGCCTCAGAATTCCCTGATCTCACTGCACTTACTCCCACCTCTACTGCCTTCATGGTACAGGCAGCATTTTCCAACCAGAGACAGATAATCCTGGAAGCCATAACGTTCAGTGGCATGCAAGCAGATGTTAGCGCCCTCTTCTCAGGGACATGCAGGACAGAAAGCTGGTCACCAGGATACTTCATTATATAAAAAGTAAAGTAGTAATAATCTACTGTCTAAATGTCTATAGATCTACAATCCCATGTACTTGATTTCCCTTAATTTTCACAAAAACTATGAGGTACATTACATTTCTCAACCCAACATTTACTGTCAGCCTATCCCTATGTCATTTTGCTCAACTCCACAGGGCAGCTTTTGACACCTCATGAATCTGGAGAATGCCAGATATTGAGTTAGATGTCCTATCCAACCACATGCCCCATCGATGCCAACATCCCAATCCTTAAAAAGAGTGGGAAGAGATAGAAAGGGAGAAATGAATAAATGATAATGAGGAGAAATGGAGCAGACCACAGCAAACTTACCTAGAGGAAGTTACCAAGAAGAGAATGTGTGTGTATGCTTATGTGAGTGTACAGGTATTAGCAGGTGCATTTGGCCATACATGTCTTTGTATATGATTGTGTGTATGTGTATGTGTATGTGTGTGTGTGTGTGTGTGTGTGTATGTGTATGTGTAAGTGTATGTGTATGTGTATGTGTATGTGTAAGTGTATATGTGTAAGTGTATATGTGTAAGTGTGTATGTGTATGTGTATGTGTATGTGTATGTGTATGTGTATGTGTATCCCTGAGACTACCTCTGGCTCATGAATCAGCATTGCTTGGTGTTTATCGTTCAGGCAAGTGCACAGGATTTCCTATAAAGCCCATCTCAGGCCCTACTCCCACTTCTATCCTCCCACGAGAACTGTCAGACGGAAGCTTCTCACAATGGAATATAGTGTGAGGCTGCTGTGGCTTCCTCCTGCAGAATCCCTGCTGCCTCCGTGTGCTCACCTCTCCTCCTGTATGAACTCTCAGTCCTTCCTTTAACATTAGTATCTTTCCCAGGGCTGAGGTCAGGCCTCCGAGTCTTGTCCATCTCTAGCTGCATCATCCCCTCATTCATTTGCCTCATTCAAGACCTCGGCACTTGTCCCTTCTCACCTGCACCTCCACCACCCTGAGCGCCTATGGCCTTGCTCCCTGTGCAGCTGTTTTCTGGGCAGAGTGGGACTGTCCCTTTCCCTTTCTCCTCCCACAGATGCCAGCTGCCCTAGGCAGTGATGGATCTATGCAGTCCTTGTTCCTTACTCTGTGCCTCGTATGAAAAGACTCTTTGTTGTCTTGGGCAGGCCTCAATGGCCTTAGTTCATCCTGGGCTCTCCATCCTGACACTCATTACGGGTGCTCATCACTCCATCATTGTGTGTGTTTCACTAAAAGGCTTCTCTTCTCATCCTTGGCTTCTTTCACTGGCATCCACAAGGCACTCTCTGAACTGCACAAACCTGGTTCAGAACCACTTCAGTTTCTTCTACCCCCTCCCCCCAAAATAGATGAAATTCCAAGACCCTACCACTATTCTTAGAGACCTCAGATCATATGATGATGCTATGATCTGAGTGCTTTCTGACGCCAGAATCCCCACATCAACAAGGTTGATATCTTACCATGTCCCATCTTTCCTGCCATATTCGATGTTTATCCCTGTAGCTCCTATCCATCTCCTGAACTGCCAATCAGGGCACTGCTATTGACAACATAGAAAGTGCTACCTTCTGAGAGATCCATCTGCTTCTGGTCTTATTACTCATGCCTGAGTATAAACTGCAGACTCATCACTGCAACATCTAAGAGACTCTGGTTGCATTCTCCCACATAACCTTGCTGTTCCAGCCACTGTGGAGCCCTACATTCACATCATCAAGATCAAGTGCATGGGTTTCTCCCATCTACCCTTGCTGTCCCAGCCACTGTGGAGCCCTACATTCACATCATCAAGATCAAGTGCATGGGCTCCAGGGACAGAAGACCTGGATTCCATCCTTCTCTGTCATTATCCATACTAGAACCTCTGTTTTCCCATCTGTAAAAGGGAATATTTGGGTACTCTACCTCACTGGATTTTCCTAAAGATTGGTCAGATCGATATGTCTAAAGAGCCAAGGAACATGGCTCAG